GTTAAGCTGCTTTGACTCGAAATCCAATTTGCCTTGTTCTAAATTTACAATGATTGTAAAAATTGAATTGAATTTTTGTGTGGCTTCTGCTCTTTGCTTATGGCTTTTGGCTTTTGGCTAAAGTTGATCGAAATTCATGCGGTAAATTTTGTGCTTGCACTCGCTTTGTGTGTTTATTGTTTATTGCTACGATTACTCGTACTTTCTTATTGTGTGTCTCTGTGTGTGGGTGTGTTCTGTTTTCGTTTCATCTTGTTTGTTAGCTGTGTGTGTGTGTGTGTGTGTGTGTGTGTGTGTGTGTGTGTGTGTGTGTGTTTGTGTGTTTCATCTTCTAGTACCTCTGGCTCTTGGTTTTCTTCTCCGTATTTAATATATAATAATCATTTGGTTTTTTCTGCTGTCTTGGTTTTATCTGTTTTCTGTTTTCTGTTTTCGGTTTAACTATTTATAAAACACTTCATTTTAGAATCCTAACAACATATATATATGTATATACATACATATACTTTATACATATACATTTATATATTTTATAATAATTGCAGCGGCGTTTTATTACTTGATTTACTTATGTATTACATATGTATATGTATTACATGTATAATATGTAAATTTGTTTAGCATTAATTCATAAGTAGTTCTTCCCATATGCCCCTCTTTTGTTGTCGTTATTGTTGTACGTATAATTTACATGGAGTGGCGCCGCTCTCTCTTTACCCCTCTTTCTCTCTTCTCGCTTCCTGCTAACTCCTCTTCATCATGCCCTCTCATCACTCTTCTAAATCCCGCCCTTACCTTTCCTTTCCTTTCCTTTCCTTTCTATTACTTTTCTCTTTACGTTTCTCTGCTGCCTCTACTAATACTTTTTGCTGTGTTCGAGTATCTGTGTGTCTGACTGAAAGTGCCTTTTATTAGTAGGTATTATTGTAGTATTAATTATATTTATTTCTCTAGTCATATTTATTATAATTGTTACCGTTATTGTTGCTTTTCGCATGCTTGAGCTAAATATTCTCTGGCTTCTCTGGTAAGTTTTTGCACTTTACTGAATTCGAAATGTGTACTGAAATTTGGATTTTGAAAAGCTGCAAATGCGAATGCGTATGGGAATGGGAATGGGAGGCTGTGACTGATATTGGCCTTCGATCAAAGCAGGATGAGGATGGGATGTCAGGATGTCAGATGCTTGGGGACCTGCACACACACACTCCTTTATGCATTTTCTTCTCTATAGTGTGTGTGTGTGTGTGTATGCGTGCTACCCATGCAAGTATGTGTGTGTAAATGTTATTTTAATTATTTTCATATTGTTTTTATTCCAGTCTTTGTGTTTATTCATACTATTATAAGCTTCATCCTACTTTTCAAGCCTCCTCCCTTCTCTTCTCCTCATACACAAAATAATCCTTGGGCAAGGGGTAGGGGTTAGAGGATTTAGTTGTGGAAAGGGGAAATATCCTAGTTGTCCTACTGGAAGAAGGAAAAGCGGACGGGGGGCTCAGCTGGAGCAGTGGCTGGAAAGCAGCTGGCAGCTTGTAAATTATGATTTCTGAACTGCTTGATTGGCTGGTCTTCGATCGATCGATCCCTTTTGCTTTTGCTTTTGCTGGCTGGCTGCAGAGCGACTCGATTTGTTTTTTTTTACTAATAAGCATAGTTTTTTCCTCTTATTTCTTCACCTTATTTTTTCGTTCTCGTTCTCGTTCTCCTCTTCATCCTCATCTCCTCATCTGCTTGTAGACTTAATTATTTTGGCAAGGTATTTTTTGTTTTGTGTTTTTTTTTTGTGGATTTTTTGACTCGTTTTTGGTTTATATCACTTTTAGTTGTAGCCTGGCCTGGTTCTCCCTCTCCTTCTCTCGATCCTTTTATCCATCTTCCTCGCTCTCTCTCGCATCGCTCTAATCTGATTTAAAACTAAAATCTCTCCTTCGACTATCTCTCTCTTCGTCATTCGATTTAATAGTAAGCTTTATATTCTTAGCGATTTCTTGTTTTTTGTTTTGTTTTTGTTTTTTTTATTGGTTTTTAATATTAGTTTGTAAATTACGCTTATAAAAAAAAAATATTTTAGTTGTATTTGTTTGTTTGTTTCTTTTTTTGCTCTTTTGCATGACTTTAAGACGATATGTTTTTTTTTTACGTTGTATTACGTTTAATTTTGTTTAATTCATTATTATTTATTTATTTATTATTTATTTTGGTTGTTCTATGATGAGATTACTGTGTAGTTATTATTATTAATGTTAATATTAAGAGTATTTATGTGTGTGTGTGTGTGTGTTCTATATTTTGTAATTTCTCGTTTGTTGTCTCTATCGACTGGCCGAACCAAGAATCGAACAAACTAAAACAAAACTGAATCTGAATCTGAACTTGAATCTGCATCTGGCTGTGACTGTGATAATGGCAAGTGGCAATGCTAATGAGGCACGTATAAAATGCAAATGCAAATGCGACTGCGACTGCAACTGCAACTTTTGTTTACATATACATATGTATGTACATATGGCTGTGCACCTTTGCATATGGGCGTATGCTGGTGTGTGTGTGTGTGTGTGTGTTTGTTTTGGACTGCGCTTGAGGCAAAATCAAGGTTCAATCGGTTCTAGTTGATTCAATCTCCTCCTTCGTCTCTCCCTATCCCTATCCCTATCCCTCTCCCTCTCCCTCTGCTCTCCTCTTTACATTTTTCTCTCTGTCCGTTTCTGTCTCCTTTCATATCTCATCTCTCTTTTACTTCCGCTTTCTTTTGCTGTGTGCGTGTGGACGGTTTTCAAAGCTGTAAATTGATTCGATCTATTTTACTTTTTTTACTTTTTCTCCCCGCTTTTTTCTTTCTTTTTGTTGTTGTTTTTTTTTTTGGGTCTCCGTTTTGCGTTTTACATTTTTACATATTTACAGATTTTCTTTGGTATAAATATTATCGTTTAATTTAGGTTTAGATTTAAGGTTTTAGGTTTTAGGTTTTAGGTTTCGGTTTAAATTCTTCTTAATTACAACAAGCAGCAAATCAATAAAAACTTTTATTCAGTCGCATATCTAACAAAAACACATTTATATATATGTGTATATATATATGTCTGTATATATATAAATATCATATATGTATGTATGTATATATGCATGCTGTAGGTTTAGTTTTCTCTGTTTGGTATTGTATTCATTCCTTCATCGACTTCTTCTGTAACCCCGTCAATCTATCTCTTCTCAAACCTATTCTCTTCTTAGCATTTTCTCGTTCCATTCTATTATTACTATTATTATTATTTTTAGTTTATTTCTGTTTTGTGAGATGTTTCTTCTGTGGTCCAAAGTCATTTGTGGCTCCTGAACTTGTGCAGTTTATATAGTTATTAAGGTTTGTTCTGTTTCTTATATTTTTTTGCATTTCCTTTCCTTTCATTTCGTATCCTTTCGGTTAGCAAGAGCAGTAGAAGCAAAGCTTTTGTAGGTAGGATTCAAGGTATAGAGAAATTTAGATATGGCATCTCTCTGCCCTCCTAATCAGTGGAAGCGATCAGTGCGATCGATATTTATCGATAATTCATCTACATAGCATGAATATACCGACTGGTAGATAGTTATCGAATGCTCATGCATTTTTTTTTAGTTTTTTTTAGTTTTGGTTTTTTAAGCTTGACAAAAGTTGAAGTCGCTAGAGTTTGAACGTTTTCAAATGAGAAGAAGATTTTGATTGGATCAAATCACACAAAAATTAGGAAGACGGAAAAATGAAGTGTTCGACTCAAATCGTGTGTAATAATAGCTACACCTACGAATATGAATGTGTGTGTGTGTGTGTGTGTGCGTGTGTGTGTGTGCGTGTGTGTGAGACTTGTGTGTGTTTAGTGTGTTGTGTTTTTGGGCTTGTGCGTGCGTGCGTGCGTGCATGTGAGGGAGGACATAGGAAAGACACGTACTTAAGCACTACAAGCTGACAACTCTGACGGAACTGCTAGGCGAGAGAGAGAGTGTTCCCCAATGAAATAGCATCTACATATAAGTATTGTATGTAATACGAGTAGATCAGCGATGACCGACCCCATAGCCCTTTCCTCCAGCGTCTCTTACTATTTAGTTACTACTCATCATACATCAGAGGTTTGTGTATTCCCTTGGAAATACAATAACAACTACGAGTACGAGTGTGCTGCTGGTCATCGCTGTAGTGAAGGAAGACTAACTAAAACTAGAACTAAACTTAACGAAAGCAGAAGGCCTCCGATGAGAGATCATGGCTAGCATGGCCTTTTGGGCCAGGGCTTTCCTAAAGTTTTGATGTAAATTTAGTTTTCGCTTTGTGGGGGGGTAATTTTGTTTTGCTTTGAAAATGGGAAGATCAGCGCGGTTCATTTGTGGGTTTGTTACTGCTTATTTTTCGGTACTGTGGCGTTTTCTGTTTTTCATTTTCTGGCGTTCAGTTTTTAGGGTTTGTTCAGTTTTAAGTTTTAGTGTTTAGCTGTTCTTGTTGTCGGTTGTCTGTTAAATTGCTAAGTTTAATTATTGTTTTTGTATCGTTAGCAGCTTTCTTTTTCCATTTTTTGGTTTTAGGTTCGTCTTGTATCCCCCTTGTTTTAGTTAGCTATGATTTTGGTTGGTTTTTGGTTGGGTTTTGGTTGGTTTTTGGGTTCTCTTCTTGGTTGTTTAATTAATTAATTAAATCATTTATATATATCTATATATAGTATATATGTATATGTATGTATGTATATACTTTACGTCTATGTCTATTTGTTCAGCTTCAGCTCAGCTCTGACTTATTTATTTACAAAATAGCAGTTTAGTTCGCTTTATGTATATTTAATTATAGTATATTTAAACGTATGTATATATATATATATATTTAATATATATTTATTTTTATTTATATATGATCTTTTCTTTGTATTACTCATTATTTAAACTTAACGGCAGTTTTGATGTTTTTAGCAATATCATGTCAGTGTGTGTGTGTGTGTGTTTGTTTTTTTGAATCATTGTGGGTGTGTGTGTTTTTTTTGTCTCTTTTTCAGTGAATGCAGGACTTAAGCAGCACCTTAACCTTAACCACCTAAGAGGGATTGACCTTACGACCTTCCCGAATGAACATGGCTGATACTTCCGCTTATGTAGATTTGACACTGGCAACTAGTCGATGAGGGCAAGTACAACAGCTGATTTGCTGTGTCGCGAGGCAGTAAAATTATAGTTGGTATCCCATGGTTTTGATCGTTTTCCAATCTGAATAGTATTTATCTAGCAACGGAGGCCAATCTAAAAGTAACTTTCTTTGTTAAGATTCGATGATTTTCCAAGTACGCAGCGGCGAATGCCATTCGTCCGTGTAGTTTTAAGGATTTACTACAGCGAATCAATGTAAGTCAGTGATCAGTGATCGGACAAGGGTGGAAAGTTTATAGATGTGAGCTTCGAACAAACGAACAAGCTCGACTCAGAAGGCAATTTTCTATATCCCCTGGCTATACGAGTATTATTTGCCCTTCCGCCCGGCAGTGTTAGAACTGCTGCCAAGCAGTGCAGCTGTGCGATGGCTCAACTGCTTGGGTACTGCAAGTTGGAGAGCAGGTTAGGATATGAGCACTGCTTTAACAGCGACAAGCCGCTGTTCATTGCCGCAATCGCTTCCGCTTCTTCCACTCCACGTTTTTGTATCGCTTTTTGCCTTAGGTTTGGTATTTGGTATTTGGTTTTGTTTCTGTTTTTTTTTTTAGTTTTTAGTTTAGTTTCATTTGACTAATATTTGACTAATATTTAATTAATAGAGCATAATTTAAAGTTGAAAATAAAATTAGTAGATATTGTATGTTTGTTTCTTGTTGTTTGCTTTGTTTGTTTGTTGTTTTTGTCTGGATGTTTTCGTTTGGTTTGGTTTTGTTTTGCTAGCTTCTAAAGAAAGGAAGAAACTCCAATTAGATTAGTCTACTAAGATAATTCGATTTAGTTTTTTAGTTTTTTTTGGATTTTGTTTTTTTTTTTTTAAGTGTTTTTATCTGTTTTGTTGTTGTTCTTGTTCTTGTTGTTTTGTTGTTGACTAAGTATAACGATTGTTAGTTTTAGTTGCTAAATTTGAACATAGGTATCAAGTAGAGTTTTTCATTATTTTCTTCGAGTGTGTGTTGTGTGTGTGTGTGTGTGTCTGTGTGTGAAGAGAATAAAAAAGGAAAAAACAAGGACAATAATTCTTCTTTAAAGCCAGTCCAAGTTTGACTCTATGGTGTCTACGAATACGAATACTCTAATTCAAGCTGAGTGAACTGGCACTGAGTGTATGTTTGTGTGTGTGTGTATCTTTACTGTGTGTGTGTGTGTGTGTGTGTGTCTGTAGTATGTGGCTGTGTGTTTTACATTTGCTGTTTAATTTACAACTACGCTGCTTACTAATTATTATTATTATTATTTATTAGTATTATTATTATTTTAATTGTAGTTATTAATAAAATTCTAAATTAGACTGCTTTTGATGACGTTTCTGGCATCCAACGTAGCATTTCACTGCGCAAACTTCGTCCATTTTCCATTTGTTTGACTGCAACAGAAGAATGTTGGAAACACATATACATATATGTATGTATGTATGTATGTATGTATGTATGTACATAGGTACGTATGTATGTACACTCGAAGGAATATTAGGAGACAGTAATCCCCCATATGTGGATGGCCATAGAGTCATCCCTCCCAAGTACTTGCCCAGTGCAGCCAGTAATGGGAAGCAGACACATACACTTGCCTAGTTATTTGTGCCTATGAAATTGACTTATTTACGGTCAAAATGATAATTAGTAGACTGCTGATACATCATCGATACACAATAGATAATAGAGAGTACATATATTTATGTGGCATGGAACTTTCAAGCTTTAAATGAATATGAATACACACTGTTGTAAGTAGTACATACGTGACTGGATTAGTTGTCGTAGTTTTCGCTTGTTAAGCCTTGTGCACCCATGAAATTCCCATCACTGCTGATATGTAGCCGTAGCACCAGCTAGCACTCACCTAGTAGTCAGACGTCGGTCTCAATACTGACAGCCATCGCGTTATTATGCCTTAACTGTAAACTATTTGTGCTCCTGAGGCCGTTTTGGCCCATCTGCTGCTGCTGCTGTCCTTGCTGTCCTTGCTGCGCCTGCTGCTGCTGCTGGAGCTGGAGCTGCAGCTGGAGCTGCTGTTTCTCGAAGGATTGCTGCGTCCTCAGAAAGGGCACCATGTGGCGTCCCGTATGATCAGTCAGACCTGGCGTGGTTGCATCAATGCCATCATCCAAGTCCATGATGTCCGATGACGATTCGGAGAGTGAGGATTTCTTCAAATGTTGACCTATTTCAGTGGGGTGTGTGGGGGCGGAGGAGGTATTCGATTTGAGGGGAATACACAAAAGAGCAAACGATTAGAAGTGAGACACTCAGGCAGTTGGGGACGGGATTGTCGTGGGGTATTCGAGGGGTTTTTCGGTAGTCGGTTATTTTGGTATTTTGGTATTTTGGGAGAAGCTTAGACTAAGAACATTCTTATGCGGTAGAGTTAAATAGCAGATATAATAAGTATAGTAGTATGTACCTAGTGCACCAGGTAAATATGAACAACTTGTAACGTGGTTGAAATTTTGGCTCTGCATCTCCTCCTGATCCGTTTCGCGGTGATAGAAGTAATTGAAATTACTGACGATAACCGGTACCGGCAGTGCGATTGTCAGCACACCAGCGATCACGCACAAAGAGCCGACAATTTTGCCCCAGAAGCCGACGGGCCTAAATGCATTTATCGATGTGCATTCGATATTCATTTTCATTTTGATTTTCATTTTCATTTTGTTCAATGGCAATATTCATGGATTCGATTCATGTTTGTCAATTTGTCAATTGGTGGTGGGGTTTTCGTTTTGTTCGGTTTCGGTTTCGGTTTCGGTTCGTTTGTATATTTAATCCGTTTTCATTCGGTTTTAAATATGCAAATTCATTTCGAAAATTCAAATTCAAATCGTTGAATTATTGAATTTGTGTTGTGGCATATATATATATTTTTTCGGTATATATTTTTTAGTTTAGTTTTTTTATATATATTTTTTTTTTTGGTTTTTTTTCGTTTTGGTTTTTTTGTTTGTTTGGTTTGGTTTTTGGTTTTGGTATGAAGAAGAACGTAGAAGAAGAACGCAGTATGTAAATCAGGTGGTAAAAAAAAACAAACAAATAGAAACAAGTTATAAGTTTTGATATATTCGATATACTATTCTAGATAGCCACTGCCGCAGCCACAACCACTACTGTGGTGCTGGCGTTGGCGCTGGCTTTGGCCTTGGCCTTGGCCGTGGTACGGGTCCGGGTCCGGGTCAATTTCCGACCCCGGACCCAACTGAAGTCAACTCAAAAACATGTCACAACAACAGAGATGGGTTACACAAACGGAGCAAGTTAAATAATACAGATAAGTTCGACAGATGGAGCATAAGTGGATAAAGGCATAAGTATTTAAGGAAACGATTCAATGGAACTCAATCGAACTCAAGGCAAAAAGTCAAAAACGAAAAGCTCAAACGGAGTTTGGGGGGATATCGAGTACATACGCAACGGGGATCAATCGGGTGGTATTAGTATCGTTAGCTGGTTCGTATTACAGTATGGATATTGTTATGGGTATAGGTATAGGTATAGGTATTGGCATTGGCATTGGTAGTGGTATTGGTTTTGGTCTTAGTATTCGTATGCAAAACATTGAAAGCAAATCGTTCGCTGATCTTGCTCCGGCTGATGACACCTGGAGCGAACCGAGCAACGGAAACAAAATCAAAATCAAAATCAAATACCAACTTAGGGAAACAAATCCACGAAGGGAAAAAATCACTCAAAACAAAGACAGAAAAAAACAAGAACGTCAAAGTATGAGTAGAGAAATTAGGGATAAGTACACTAATAAATAATTACATATGTTTATACAATAATAAATAGAGATAGTTAGATATAGATATAGCTGGGCTGGCTTGGCTAACAAAAAACCGAAGCGTACTTATTGCCAAATGGAATAAACAAAATGTGCCGGCGTTTGGCGTCGTCGCTGTTAAACTTGACACAAAATGAATATACGTAGTAGAGGGATGTGTGCAGAGACCAAAGCAAATCAGTCGGAGCCGAATCAAGCCCCTGCGGACAAGCAGTGGCAGTGGCAGTGGCAGATCCGCACTCTGCCAACTGCTTTGGCCAGCACATACACACGCACAGTGAGAGTGGGAAAGAGCGAGCGATAGAGGGCAGACAGAGAGACAGTCCTAGTTGGTCCTAGAGTTGCTTCCGTTCCTCTTGCATTTTCTTCTCTTATCTTCTCTTCTCTTCTCAGGTTTCTTGCTTGCTCTTCTTGGATGGTTTTCAAGTCTTCTCTGTATTGGATTGGTGTGCTGACTGACTTACTGACTGACTGACTGTTTGGACTGACTGTACTTGATGCATGATTCTGTTTCTGTTTCTGTTTTCTTGTCTGGTGTGATGCTGATAGTAGTAGGAGATGACAGATAGAGAGCGTCTGCACAACAGAGGCGACGCTTTCGGAGGCTCTTTCGGATACATCCGGAGTGTGTCCGTGTGCTTGACAATGTGTGTGTGTGGGTGGGTGTTTACATATAGGTAGGTAGATAGGTAGAGACATAGGTAGGTATAGTAAGCGATCGTAAGTAGGCAAAGAGTACGAGTAGCTGATTCAATGCTCATTCGAGTGTTTGAGTTAAGGAACCAAATCAAAATCAAAGCGAGATTAAAAAAACGTACGTGTTCAAAGTGATTAGAAAAGCCAAAAAAGTTTTCGATTCAACTTTTGATTGGTTTGGTTTGGTTTGGTTTGGTTTTGGTTGGTTGGGTTGTTGGTTGTTGGATGTTGGATGTTGGTTGGGTGATGGTGTGCATTCCTGTGTCTGTTTTGTGTGTGTGTGTTTTTTGGGGTGTGAGTGGTGGCTGCGGTGTGTGTTGTGTTGTGTTGTGGTATGGGGGTGGTGGAGGTGGCGGTGGAGTGGGGGTTGTGACATAGGAGATACAGGAGTAGCAAGTAAGTTTGGTATATATGCAAATGTGCTAAGCGTGCGCCCTTGTGTGTGTTATGCTTTTGCATTTGCTTTTGCTTTAGCTTTTGCGTTTGCTTATGTATTTGTTTGCGTTTTGCTTTTGCGTTTTGCTTTTTGGTTTACGAGTAGATTAGGTTTTGTCTTTGCTTTTCTTATGCTGGTTTCATTTCTCTTTTTTATTTACTGTAATTTGTTGTTTGCGTTTGATTTGCGTTAATTTACTTTGCTTTTGATTTGCTGGTTGATTGCGCTTCAATTTACATATATATGAGTGTAGCTATATATATATATATATATATATTGATCTGATTCTGATTCTGGTTCGGTTGCAATCTCAATCTCGAGCGACTGGATATAGCAACAGAATGCACATGCACCGGAATCGGGAAGCACAGGGAAACGGGACTTAGGAGCAGAAGCAGGAGCCGTACAGCCTGAGCCGGAGCTTTCGAGAGCTGCCAAATGCTGCGGGTTGTTCTTGTTCTTTTGATAGTTTGCTGTTTTTTTTCTTTGCTTGTTATATTTTCTTTTGCTTGATTTTGTTCATGTTCTTGTTCTGGTTCTGGTTGTTGCTGCCGCTGCTGATACTGTTGCTGCTGCTGCTGCTGCTGCTGCTGCTGCTGCAGGTCTCTTGCAGATGTTGATGTTGCAGTTGCAGTGGCCGTTTCTACTGCTGCTGATGGCATTGCTGGTTGCGATAGCAGTAATGGTAGGCGATAGCAATAGCTTAACGATAACGATAACGATAACGATAGCGATTGCTGGTAGCTGGTAGCTGTAACGGGAACAGGAGCGGAGCGCAGGAGCTTCGGCAGGTGCAGGCTGAGCAGACTGAGCGCTGAAGCGTTTCTTACATTTGGTTTTTATACATTTAGAGGGGAGGGGGAGAATGTAAGCAAAAAGTTTACAAAATATTCCATAAACGATTAATATATTGTATTATTATCACATATCATATACGAGTACATCTAATATTGGCATAAGATATACATACATATATGTAGTATTCAGGATATACGAGAGTAGTTGCGCGCTTAGCATACGTATGTATATCCAGGGGGGATAGATAGGCAGATATACATACGCGTAGATAGGCAAAACCAAAATGGATAGGCAAAATGGAGGCATACAAAAAACGAATACGAATAGTAGATACCAAAGTCAAATCAAAACAGAGTTTCAGAGAGATAGAGACAGAGAGAGATGGATATATTTAAAATAAAACTGAGACTGCCACCCCACAGCCCCCGCTCCATTGAGAGGGGGCGGGAGACAGACATATGGTGGATACATATACAATATATAGATTTGGAAGAGATACACAGAAATCGGATGGTGGTAACCGTGGAGAGAGATTGGGTGGGGCTGGGGCTGGGGTCTGGGCTCTGGGCTCTGGGGCTGGACTCGGGGGTTTTTTTCACACTCACCGTTCGCTGGATTCAGCACCGCCTGGCTTGCCTGGGCCTGGCTGGACCTGGGCTTGACCTGTTCGGACTTCAACTTTCCAAGATTTTCAGTAAAAATTTCAATATTTTCTTTTTATAGTTTTATCGGTGGGTTTTTGTTTTTTGTTTTCTGGGGCTTTGTTTTTGATCGTTCGCCTTCGCATGAGTAAGACGGCGAGTAAGTGTCTGTGTGATTGTGTGTGTGTGTGTGTGTGTTAAGACAGAGGAGTAAGGCAATAGAGCTAAGACTACGCTAAGAAATGTCCGCAAGAGAATGTTGTGCTCCTTACATGATGGTTATACGAGATAAAGGTAGTTATATAAAAATATTTAAATATTGAATGTGTTCGTGTGTTTGGGAGTGGGCTTAGGGCTGGGGGGTTGGGAAGAAGGAATAGTTAGACCTTGTGGGTTCTTAGTTATACGAGTATTCAACTATATTCTAGGCTTATGGTTATGGATAACGATTCTATGGCTAGATACTTGCCACTCCCTCTGCAAAGATCTACCCAAAAACATACGAGTACTTAGATACGAAACACAAGCTATGTTAGATGGCTGGTGGTATTGGTATAGGTATTTAGGGGTACAGGTGGATAGGATGGAGGGATGATGGGCGAAAGGGGGTCAGAGACCACCATGTATACGTATTTACGACTGGAATAGGGATAATTACATCTACATATTGCTCGAACAGCTTAATTTTCGGGCTCGCATTCGTCTTTGGATGTGTTTTTGTTGTTGTTGTACGGTTGATGGATGCTTTCTTTTTGTAAATTATTTTTTATTACTTTTTTTGTTTGTATTTTTATTGAATAACGATTATAAAACATTTCATTTTAATCTTAACAACATTTCCTTTTGGTTTTTTCGTTTTGTTGGTTTTCCTTTTGGTTTATTTTTTGAGTGGGTTTTTTTTTAGCTTTTTGTTTCTTGGTTTTGCTTTTGTATTTGTCATATCTTATTGGGCGTAATACTAAGTTATTTTTCTATATGTTGTGGATTACTCGTGTTATCTGCTGTTATCTTTTATATGCTTTGATTCGTATTGTTCTGGTTTTTCTTTTGGTTCTCTGCTGTTTTCTGTGTTATTGTTTCTCAGTTTATCGTTATCGTTCATGTGTTTTATTCATGCTATTGCCGATGCTCTGTTCGTTGGGTTTCTGCTTGGTCTATGGGCTCATGGGTACCTGCAAACATATCTAGGTCTAATTGGGTTCAGTTAAGGTCTGGGGGGCTGTTCTCCCAATTCTGTTCGGTTGTGTTCGGTTCGGTTCGGTTCCGTTCGATTCGCCTGGGTTCGGTCCGGCTGTGGGTCTTGGAGCTTCTAGCTAAACTTAAACATATATTTTGGATGTTTGAAACAAGGCCAAATCAAAATTGGAAATCAATCAACAAAGAATTTTAACAAATATATCAATATTTTTTTTATGTATACATATACATTATACATATATTATTATATATTTTTTTCTTTTTTTAATCTCTATTTGCAGTCTTTGTCCTTAATAGAAATTTTGTGTGGTTTTTTTGTATGTTTCTAGAAGCATTGAGAAGAGTCTGACAGATAGTTTTCATTATTTGTGGCTGGTTTTATTTTGTATGTTTTGATTTACTCGTACGTGTATAGAATATAGCTTTAGCATATGGTATATAGTAGGTATTATTTATTCTTTCTTTTTGGTTTTTGTGTGTGTTCGTTTAGTTTTTCGTTTTTCGTATGCGTGTTAAGTGTTTTGTCGTTTAGTTTGCAATTAAATTTAATGGAAAACTTGAAAGGATTGTTTCTGGTTTAAATTTAGGAGAAGTCGAGCGTTTCTTGCTTGTTCTTTTTGTTGTGACAGTTCAGTTTTGTTGTTTTGCGTTTTTCCTTCTTTTGCGTTTTGCCATGTGTTAATTATTCGATTCGATTCATTCTTCGAGTTATTCTCACGTGTCTGAGCTTGGTTATTACGATTATAATTATGTTTTTGCTTTACAACGATATGTCTGCTTCTTCTCCTGGAGATTTCTTCGTTTATTCGAGTATCTTTAGTAGTAGCTTTACGCTTGTCCGCTTGGGCTAGGTTACGACTAGAGTACAGTAGAGTAGGCTACAGTTGCGTTGAGTAGAGTAAAGTTCGATAGCGTTGAGTTGAGTTGGGTTCGAGTTGGGCTCGAGTTGGGTTCGAGTTGGGTTCGAGTTGGGTTCGAGTTGGGTTCGAGTTGGGTTCGAGTTGGGTTGGGTGGAGAGAGTAGAGCAAAGTTCAAGCATACGAAACTAATACAAATATCGGATGAGATGCGCCTTCAGCTCTAAATAAGTCTATGAATACGAATGGGTGTGTGTGTGTATGTTTGTGTGTGTGCCTCTGTTTGTACTTGTTTGTGGGTTTTTAAATTAGCATTGCGATCGATTAGCTGTCAACTGCTGCTGCTGCTGCTGTCTCTGGTGGGTGATATGCCAAAGACAGGACTAAAGTTACAGAATAACAACATGTAAACTAAGAATACATGTCAACCGATTGCTTTCAGGCTAGGTAGATCGAAAAGACTACTGTTACGATTACCGATTCCACTTTGGTTGGACTAACTACAAATATATTGGCAAAATACAATTGAAAAATCTACCGAATGATACGTTACGGAAACGGAATGCAATGCGACTCGGATACGGATACGCTGGCAAACGTAATGCATTTACTGTTGAGTAGATACTCGTGTTAGCTAGTAGTAGTAAGAAAGTAAGTATTTACAATGCGGCACAGCGGAGTGTGCGAAATAAAACAAAAAATTACTTCAAAAACTCTTTCTTTAATTTCGTCTTTGCTTTCGGCTTTAGTTGATGAACATCGGAAAGGATCGGCTTGGCTCGGCTTGGATCAGATTGGTTTTCGTTTTCCTTTTCCTTTCCCTTTTTATTCTCGGTTTGTGCTGAGTTTTGAGTCTGCTGCTTCATTATATGCAAGACCATGGCTGGAATTTCTTTGGTACGAGTTACTCTAGGGTTTCTTTTCTGTTTAGTCCACAGCTCGTGACTCGATTGCAGCACACGTGCGTGTGTGTGTGTGTGTGGGTATGTGTGTGTGTGGCTACGTGTTAGGCTATGTGCTATGTATGTATATGCTTCTATATATACAATTTGAATTTTTGTAAAATTTTTCTCGTGTACTTAGCTCAATTGAATTACATTAAATGTTTGTCCATCTCGAATTAATTGTAATTGTAATTTTAATTTTAATTGTAATTTATTTAAACATATAATAACATTTCTTTTGCTGAACACATTTATTCCAAAATTTTTATTTTTTTGTTGTTTTTCTTTTTTTTTGTTGTTGTTTTGTTTTCTCTTTGTTTGGTTTTGTTTTAAGCGTTCATAGGTTAATATCAACACAATTTGTTTTTCTGTTTTCTTTACTTTATTTTTATTTAAAATTTTTTGTTTGGTTTTGTTTTTTTTTTTTGTTCTTTTTTGCTTGTTTTGTGTGTGTTTTAAGGTAATTTTAGTGGCTCAGTTTTGTGATTAAATCAAAGTCTTAAGATGTAGGAAAAGAACATTACGAGTATGAACGAATAACCATAAGAATACAACTAAACACGAATCCTATGTCCTGCTATACATTGGAAATCCTTAGACTCATTTACAATTATCATACATACATAGGTTCGCTAAATTTATTCAATTGTCTAGATTAATGCTAGGAAAAAAAAACAACCTTACTTTACACTCGACCCTTTGTATCTGCTATCTGCTATGTGGTATTTTGTATCTTGTATCTATTACGCTAAAATCATCTCCTCTGCCCCCTGGTCTCTGTCCTAAATCATAGTCTAAACATAGTTAAGCGGATCTGTTTCGTTTTATCCATTTTTCCCCTGTTGCTTCCAGCTTCCTCGTCTTCTGTTCTCCTCCCTATCCTTATTCTTCCTATCGTTTCCTCCTTTTGGTGTTTGCGTTTCGCTTATTCTCATTCCTCACTACTTCCTATGACTCCCTCCTTTCTACTTCTAAGAGATACAAGGACTCTGGAGTGGCTAAATACAGTACAACTAAAGGACATTTTTGCATGTGTGTTGCTCTCGGGTGCATCGTTCATGGTTCTTTGTTATATTTATTTAACGTTTATGATTATAGAGTGGTTGTTAAGATTTTATTTTGTACAAAAAAGCATTTGAATTTTCTGTTTACTTTTGCTTTTCAGCTTTGCTTCGAGAGTATTTACAGCAGTTATAGGCCAGAAATGGGCAGACCCTACCACGAAGGGGAACCGGCTAGATCTCGGGGGCTCGGACTCTAACTCGGACTCTGGATGTGTGGTCTTTCATATATGTACACACAGAGTTCGATCGATCGCCCCTGCTCGCCGGAGCTTGGAAAAGTATTATTTCTGGTTCGGTAAGCTCTTCTTCTCTTCTATATTGCAATTAACTTGGGAGTGGGGCTGGATGTGGGACTGCAGATGGGACGGGAGATGGATGATGTTGGCAGGGGAGGGGCTGGCAGTGGGATCGGAGGAGGGGGCGTGGGCTGTTCCATAAGGCATTTCCCTTAACCCTTAACCCTCTCTTCCCTAATTTCCATTCCCCCGATTCTGATCATGGTGTGTGTGTAATTGTTGTATGTGTGCGTGGACGGTATTCGAAGCTTTTAAAATGTACACATTTTTTTTTTTTTTTTTTTGGTTTTTTTTTTTTTTGGTTATCTTCAATATACAACTGCTGGTTCCTTTTTATTTACAGGTTACATATATACATACATATGTACATATATGCAAGTATATGTATCTATTAACACACACTCATATACATATATACATAAATATAAATTTGTTTTAATTTTTTTTAGCTTTTTATACTTTTTAATATATTTATTTATACATTGTATGCAAAATTTTGAAATTGCATAGTTTCAGTCAACGATTTGAATTCTCTTGGTTTTCCATACATTTTATACTCGTTTTTTTCTGTCTATGTGTAAATTTGTGTATGCATGTGTGTGTGTGTGTGTGTGTTGTGGGAGAGGTTTGGGGGCCTATGCAATCCAGTTGAAGAAGTATGTCTCAGGCAGGATCTCGGTAGCAGCTCATCTTATCATCATTTTTCTTTCCCTTTTTTTTTTTTTTTGCCTTTTTTGTTTTGTCTTTAAATGTATATCTCTTGTTATCTGAACGTAGTCGGTCGTATGGGCCTCTAAATATATAATATTTTGTATTATAAAATCATAAGAGCGTTTCCCGTTTTGTTTTTCATTACTCTCATTTGTTGTTTGTTTTTTGTTTGTTATTGTGGTTGAGCTGATCTGGGACTGGGATATCCATCCGTTGCATGTGGATTAATGCTCTTTTGCCTGTAGTTTAACAACAACAACAAAAATTGCTATTGCTCCTTGTATTGTATTATTTATGAAAATTTCATTTGTTTTCTTTTCTTTGTTTAGTTGAATATTTGTACTTTTTATTTCGATTTAATTCGGGGGGATCGAAGCAGAAGAATCGCAGGTTCTGTTCGTCAGCTGATATGGGTACAGTAGACAGGTAAGTGTTCAGTTTTTGGTAAGTTTGGTGGTTAGTGGGTGGGTGTAGGTGTGGGTGTGGCCATTGGAGGGCTAGAGATTTCCCTGAAGCTTTAGTCAAAAAACAAAATCCTCGCAACTGAATCGATGGATTGACGATCCCGACTAGGACCGAGGGGCTTTAGTGTTTACTGTCGCTGTTGTTTTTGTTGTTGTCTTAGTGGTACACATACACATACACATAAACATATATAAATGCACGCATATGCTGTGGTTAGGCTTATCGCTTAGTTACTTCAGTTAGCTGGTTAGTTGTCTATATTAGGCTACATGTATATGTACTTCCTGTCACATTTAAAAGCAGATATTGCGTCGAATCTCGTTTGCAGTTGCTATGAAGGTTCTCCCCTTTTTGTTTTGTTTAAACTTTGAACACTATACACATTGGGTTTTATTAAATATTACGGCAGTTTTTCTATACTTTTAGTTCAGTGTTAGTGCTAGTGTAAGTGTGTGTGTGTGGGTGGAGTGTCTATTTCTGATTTGTATGCCTGTGACTGCTTGCATTCCAGCTGGACTGCTTTCTTTCTACTGTAACTGCATCCCATCCTATTCTATGCGGACTGCCTGAAGTACTGCTTGCTCTGTGCTACACTTCTGTTCAACCTGTTCTGTGCTCTTTTTTGATCAGCTTTTTGGTTTGATTGTTGTGTTATGAGTTACTGACTTATTTACAGTTGTGTGGTCGGATTATGCAGGGCTAGTTATGTTATGGCATTCAATGAATTAGATCTAAAATCTTTGAGTTAGTTTATGTGGGCCTTCCCATCTGCTGCCGCCAGCAATTCGTTCGTTGTTTATGCTTTCATTTGCTTTTATCTTTATGGGGTTAATAGTTTTAGTTGGACAATGCCTGGGTTATATGTACGTACATATGTACATACATATGCAATTTTATGTACACATAGGGGGTGGTGCCTCGACTCTGTTCCTCTCCTTTTCGAGATGATTTCAACTTGATTTGCTTGTTTTGTGTTTGGGTCTGTTTTTGTTTTTGGTTTGGGGTATGCTCTTGCTTTTGTGTTTGTTGTTCACGTTTAAGATTAAGTTTATAATTTAATTAAATGTAATTTAAATGTAAATTAGGATTTAGATTAATTTAGCCATAGATTAAATTTGTTTTGTTGTTTGTTCTACTTAAATTAAATACAAACAGCTTTCTTTGTAGTCGTTTCTGGCATCCAACGTAACTCTTGTCAAGGCCAATTCTATACCACTTAACATCTTTCGCCCTGATCAGAGCACATAACATCAGATCAGATCAGATCGGACCAGATAGATATATGTCAGATATACAATAAATACAATTGTGGGTTGGTTTCCCATACGTAAAAAATACAGAGACGAGAACGAGACATACATACATACATACAAGTCAAAGGTATTGATAGGTTCAGACGTAAGTAAAGACATACGAGTATGTATCGCGTAGGTGGGAGGGAGCGCCACGTGGAGAGAAAAGAGAGAAAAAGTTATGTTCTAATCAAATCGGAATTCAATTCAGTTCAATTCAATTGATTGGTTGTCCGCACTGCCACTTTGAGTACTCGTAGTTGGGTAGAAAGTGTCTCTAGTCTGTAGGCACAACTCTGTGGTCTCTGGTATCTGTGGCAGTGCGCACAATCCGTTTTGGAATTTCTTTGTGGCGTTTTGCAACACTTTAACTAAGTTAGGCTCTACTGTTTAGAGGTGCACAAGGAAGGTGAAGTGGAAGTGATTTAGTTGGGTACAGATAGTGAGCGAGGAGGGTCGGAGAGTGGGAGATAGAGGTGGGGCCGGAAAGAGGGAAATGGAGCTGGGATGAGTGTGAGAGAAAGAGAGAGGGAAAGCGAGCGAGTGAGCGAGCGGTCGAGAGAGAGAGAGAGAGAGTGAGAGGAGTGTGCGAAAGCGAGTTAACCAACACTTACCCAGTAGTCAAACGTCGGTCTCGATACTAACTGCCAGGGCATTATTGTGCCTCATGGTGAGGGTGGTGGCGCCGCTGCCGCTGGCACTCCCACTGCCGCTCGCGCTACTCGTTGTTGCCGCCGTGCTCGCGCTCATTGTGGACTGCTGCTTGAAGCCGTTATGCTGCGGCTGCGGCTGCGTCGGCGACTGGTACGGCTGCTGCTGTAGTGGGTGCTGCTGCAGGGGATGTTGGAGTTGCTTATCGAGCGACATCGACATCGACATCGACGTCGACGATGCTGGCTGTTGCTGCAGTTGCTGCTGCTGCAGTTGCTGCTGCTGCTGTTGTTGCTGCTGCTGTTGCTGCTGCTGCTGCTGCTGTTGCTGGGCTCCCAAAAACTGGGCAGCTGCCGCACTACGTCCAGGATGTGTGTCAGTTAATCCCGGCGTCGACTCGACACCATCATCCAAATCCATCATATCCGATGAGGACTCGGACAACGATGATTTCTTCATGTGTTGACCTACTTGGTAGTTTGTAGTCAATTGTTTAGTGTGGTTGTCACCCAGTTTTCGGCACGCGGTGGCATACAAGGTTGTTTGTGTGTGTGTGTTTTTGTGTTTGTTGGAGAACGGGGGGTGGTGGGTGTCGTGAGATCGATTGCAGGCGTGTGTGTGGTGAGCGGGTTGGTGGGATGCCAGGATGGTGGGAGAAGAATTCATCGGAATTCAGGAGCGGAACAGTTCGGATCGGTATGGCATGGGTATGGGTATGGTACGGTTTGATTCGGTTTGGATTTGGATTTGTTTGGAGATCACGTTTCGATATTCAAATTTTCCATACAATTGTTGGACGGAATAAAGAGAGAAACAAAAAGAAGAGAGAGAGAAGAGAGAAAGAGGAGATCACACATACAGTTGTAATGCATCAATTACAATAATGTTTTTTGTTGTAGTTCTTGCCTTACACACAAAACACACAGTACGTGCAGAGTACGTTGCTTGTGGGGCTGCCACAGCCGCTGCCTCTGCCGTGGACAGGGCTGCCGCCTGCGTTTCAGCAGGTTTTGGGCTGCCCGTAAACGCAGCCGGCAGCCAACACCCTGCAGCCTGCAGCCTGCAGCCTGTCCGGCCTTCGCTGGCCTGCCTCAGCGGCAGGGCAGGGCAGGGGCAGGGCAGGGATGCCACCCACAATTCGTTTCTTTCTTCGTAAATGTTTCTATTTTTATTCGGCACGGGTACTTCTAATTCTTGTTTCTTTCTACACATTCTTTTTGTTGGCGGTTGTTTGGTTGCTCTACTTGAGTAGTAAGTATGTGAGGTTGTGGTTGGTTGATTGGTTGTTGGTTGTTGGTTCTTGGTTGGTTGGTTGGTTGGTTGGTTGGTTGGTTGGGGGACGGGCGGTCTGGATTATCCATTCGGATATGTGGTATATGCGTAAACGATTAACGAGTAACGAGTACGAGCACGGGCATGAGCACGAGGCTCACGAGGCTACGAGTACGAGTACGAGTACAACAGAGAGACACACACAGAGAGAGTGCACACACAGAGAGGGGTGGAACTTACCTAGTGTACCTGGCAAATATGGACAACTAGTGACATGATTAAAGTTCTGGCTCTGCATCTCCTCCTGGTCCGTTTCGCGGTGATAGAAGTAATTAAAATTACTGACGATAACCGGCACCGGCAGTGCGATTGTCAGCACACCAGCAATGGCACACAGTGATCCCACAATCTTGCCCCAAACGCCGACGGGTCTGTATTTCATGAATTTCATTTCAAAATTTTCAATAATCAAATTTCAGTTTTAGTTTCAATATCAATATCAATTTCGAATTCAATCGATTGCAGTTATCGTATATCAAACGATAAAAGATACAAGTTCAATGCAGATCATTTCGGTTTTGGTTTCAGTTTCGGTCGTTTTGGGGTTGCATTTCGTTGTTGTTATCGATTGTTATCGTAGATATTTGGTATTTTGTGGTGAGATTTTTGTGCAAAAATATTTTTTTCGTTGTTGGGGAGTTTTTATTTTTGTTTTGTACATTTTTTGGTTTTGATTTATATTTTGATTTGATTTGAATTGAGAATTTTGGAGTTGGTTGTTGGTTGGAGTTTTTTTTATATTTTGAAAATTGGTATTTTGTTTGTTTGGATGGAAGCGAGCGATGTTAACGAACGAACGATATAAATAAAATGAAAATACAAATATATAAGAAATGTAAAGTAAAACTCTCGTTTGTTCTTAATATTCATTTTGCGTTGGTATTATTTTGATTTTGGTTCTTTTTTTTTTGTCATATACTATATGCAATTGCAAAATCATACAGCATTACGCATTATATAGATATAGATATAGGTATAGATATGGATATTCGTTTCAATATATAGTTATAGTAAACATATAAGGGGATGGGTAAGGTATGTATAGAGAGATTCATATTTGGGCAGACATACATATAGGTAGATATAGATACGTACATATGTAGATAGATAGATAGATAGATAGATAGATAGAGGCGGGTAGTACGGCAGTACGGGATGTATATACAGGGTAGGTACGGGGTATATGAGAGTAAATAGGCATTAGTCTAGCGAACGATCAAACCAAAAGATTACTCGAAAGATGGCACAACACTTAGAACTTGGAACTTGGAGTGGAGTAGCGTATTGGATTGGTGGATATTGGTGGCTCGCATGGTGGTAGAGAAAAACTCTTTGAAGTGTGAAGGCAGCTGAGCTGTTTTAGATGTGGCTGTAGCTGTAGCTGTAGCTGTAGCTGTAGTGTTAGATATGTATGTAAATATAATTATTGCACAAGTGCGATCGAAAAACGCTGGTGCGGGTGGGTGGAAGTGGGAGGTGGAAGTTGGAAGTGGACAGACAGAAACAATCGACAAAATTTGTGCGTGTGGAACAGAAACTTTTCTCGTCTGACAGTATAGGATGGATGGATGGGTCAGGACAGGACAGGACTATAGGCCAAGGTTTGAGGGACTGGAATCATTGGCAGTTCGAGTAATTCGATTTGGCAGGCGCATTGGGCACATTTTTTTTTGGCAGCAGCTAAAGCTAAAAACTTTTGTATCTGTGTGGCTGACTATGTGTGGGAATGGGCGTGAGAAGGTGTCTGTATGTGTGTGTGTGTGTGTGTGTGTGTGTGTTTTTTGGTGTGCGTGGCGCATATTGAGCCCATGCAGCATGCTCGCCTTTCCCTCCTACTATCCTGTTCCTCTTCTGTAGAAACTTTTTATATATCGGTTTAGTTGTTGTTGGAGTTGGTGTTGGTGTTGGTGTTGGTGTGAACAAAACTCGATTAACTGTTTTTTCGCAGCAGTAAATGAAGTTACCGTTATCCTCAAAGTGTTTTTGTGTGTGCCCCCTTGTCGGGGATCGCCAGTGTATGTGTATTTCGAGGATGATGAGAATGGATGGATGGGAGTGCACTGTACTCTTCACTGTACAATGCTCGGTGAGTGTGGAATAGAGCTGAGCTGATGGGATATTTTCCAGCAGTTTTCTAGTATTTTTCATATGGTTATCAATATTTTGCTTATCTTTTTTTGGTTTTTCATAGGTGAACTAAACAACGACACAACGTTTACATTGATAATTGCGATAATAAAATAATGGCATTTAAAACTGAAGGGCAAACTGGAATCTGAAACAATCGCTTCGAACAGCATTGAAATGAAAACTATATTGAGATCTCATCAAAACAGAAAGAGAGAGAGAGAGAGAGAGAAAGACAAATGCTTTCTGCATGTGAAACGAATTGAAACTAAATTGAAGGTGAAACAGAACCGAGTCAACTGAGTCAAAAGTAATATGAAAGAAACGGAATGGAACAAAATTGGTTAGACGAATACAAATACAGAATACAAATACAGAATACAGAGACAAATACAAAGACAAATATAACTTGTCATAGACAAATACAAATACTGAATACAGAATACAAACAAACAGCTCAGCGAGTCAAAGTAAGAGATAGCAACAGTTGGGTTAGGTTTGGTTTGGTTTGGTTAGAGATTTTTGCGTATTGTAATCGGGAATGGAATTACAAAACCATATATGTAGGAGCTTTAGGTCAGGTTAGCCATTTACAGTAAATATTATATTTAGGCTTTGACTTTGTGGGATGGAGCGGTGGGTTAGTCATAAATAACGAAATAGTGGTAGTCGAAAAATAGAAAAGAATATAGTGGTAGCGGGAGGAGGAATGCCGCTAAAGCGACGGCACGCTCCTGGCAGGAGCATAAGGAATGTTAACGGTAACGGTAACGGGAACGGGAACGGTAACAGAGACAACACGAAACAGAAACGGGAACGGGAAAATAAAGCGATATCAAAATCATAATCATAATTATAACTGGAGTTTTCGTAAAGGTAATCATAAGAGTTAGAATTGTATAGATTTGCATACGTCATGTCACCATATCCAACGGTGGTCATGGTGACGACCGCCCACCAAAATGCATCGGGTATGGACTTGAAGAAGGAATTTTCGCTTCCAGCTTCCGCAAAATAAACCGCCGATGAGAAGAGTACGACGCCTAAAAAAATTGATGGGAGAAATATTGCTTTGCATTGGTATTATATTCTTATTGTTTTTGATTGCTATAATTTTTTTATTTGTTTTAAATTTTTTCAATATTTTTTTTTTTATTCAAAAATAAACATTAAACCAAAAAGTTTCATTATTTTTTTTCGAGATAGAGAGAGTTTTGGGTGTGTCCGTTGTGGGTAGTCTTTTAGTCTTTTAGGGGTCCGTCAGAAGCTCGTCCGTTTTCGGTGTGTTTGGTTTTTGTTTTGGTTTTTTTGATTGTTTTGTTGGTGTGAGGCTCATTTGTGTTACATTCTTTCTGTTTCTTGTTGTCTGCGGCCAGGACAGTTCGGTAGCCCTGGCTGGCTCTGTGTTGGTTTTGCTGTCTCGGGCTAACAAAAATAGTTGTATCATTCACGAGTGAATGCTCCATTGAGGATTTACTGCGATTTACTGCATTTCCCCAATCTGCAATCCGGCGGAATTCCCAAGCAGAAATTCAAAATGACGATGTGACCGTGTGAGGGCACTGAAAGCGGTTTCTGGTGAGCTTCTTTCTCATTGTTCTCACTATGGTGATATGCGAGTAGTTGTGGTAGAACAAACGCCCACAGGCAGAACAGACAACCGACCAAATTGGCCAGAGAATTAATCCAGACTCTTTCATTGCTGTCTGGCTGTGACAAGTGGTGGGAGAGAGACACACACACACACATGGTTAAATACTAAAGACGAATGAAAAGAAGTCCACATGAAGACGGAACGAAACGAACTGAATGAAAGAGGAGGAGCTTGACAGACACCATGCCAAACGATTTGTGGGGATGGATGGGAGTGGAAACATAAAAATCATAATTGGAATGAACGGAACGCAAAAGAACGGAACTGAGACATGAAATGAAAATGAAAATGAAAATGTGGGACGCATATGCATAGACTAAAGATTTATGTACAGAGTTGGAGGTTAGGTCTATGTGAGTTGGAATATTGGATAAAAGCGAGCGATCACACAGTACAACATCTAAGAAGGGCTTACAGGAGCTTAATCACATCGTTCAGTTCAATATACAGGGGGAGCAACTGTACAGCGCTGGGGTGAGAGCGAAGAGTGGACTGGGGCCTTCGTAATGGAGCCCCTCAAATCTGAGGGTGTGCTCCTTTTTGTGGGTCCTTCGATGCCCTCTCATACATAATATGGTATGTACATAGCATGGTGACAAAAGCAAAACATTAAGACATATACAGCTCCAGGAAAGAGACAGAGAAAAAGAGATAAAGTGGATGGATTGATGGCAGGGTAAGAGACAGACAGACTTGCATTACAAACACTCAGACAAACAGATTAAAGAGAGAGGAAGAAAGAGAGATAGTAAATAGTAGATACACATATATGAATATAGATGTTAGAGCAGGTTTACAAGATCGAGAGTAGCTTGTGAGAAGTGAGAGCACCAGCACATGACACCACAATGGTGCCCATGGCAGAGCAGCACAATTATGGGATTGGAACGTGTGGACAATTTAAACAATAGGCTGTACCTCATATCACCATATCCCACCGTAGTCATGGTCACCACAGCCCACCAGAAGCCGTCCGGTATGGACTTGAAAAACGAATTGTCGCTGCCAGCCTCCGCGAAATAGACCGCCGACGAGAACAGGACCACGCCTGCGATCAATTAATTCAGGGCGAGTCAAACAGAGATTCAGATTCATTAATGTATCGTTAGTATGCAATCGAGTCGTTAGTATTTGTGCGTTTCTGCTTGGGAATCTGTTGGGAAATGGAGGAATGGGTCCTCGCAGGACGATGGGTCTAACCATTTTCCGTCACAGATGTTTTTCTTTTTTTTTTGTTAATTTCAGTTTATTTTTTTTTGTGTATGGCCTTTTGTTTGTACCTTTTCCAAGGAATTTTCAAAGAAATTGGTTTATTTCCTCTTTAAAACAACTACAAGATATACATAAGACTATGGCTATAGATTAGTAAATGCTTTTTTTTGTGGTTGTTAATTTTGTTTGAATTGAAATCTGGTGCATTAAAAGAAAACTATTGGAATATTCGATTAGGTGGAACAAAAATAAGGTATGAAGAAATAACTGCAACTGGAATTTTATTTAATTTTAATTGATGTCTGTTTTGGTTTTAGTTTTTGGTTTTTGTTTTTTTGTTTTTGTTTTTGTGTGGAAATTGATTTTGGAAAGTTCTTGAAGTGACACTTGTGTTTTTATGTAAGTACTATAAGTGTTTCCTGTGTGTGTGTTTGTTTGAATGTAACAAAAAGGGTTTGCAAATTATCACAAAATTCGAAAGGAAAAGCGCAAACTTCGACTGTGTGTAGCCTACTTTTAGGCCACAAACATTGTGTTTGCGTGAGAGAGAGAGAGACAGAGTGTATGTGTATGTGTAAGTGTTTGTGTGTGTGGTTAGTAATGCTACTTAATCGGTGGCAACTAACTTTCCACAAGATTAACTATATGTATATGTAGTATTTACTATTATCAATATTATATATTATTAGGTTTGTGGTTTGATTAGAAATAAATGGATACATGGAGCTAGCTAAGTACGTATGTATAGATACTCTGTACAATACAATAATCATAAGTAGTATTTCATTGTTAGTAATTGATCATATATATAGATATATCTATAGATCGATACACGATTATATGCATACATAAATGTAAGTACAAGTATAAGTATGTTTAGACTAAACTACGGCAAGACAAATGATACGAGAACTGAATACGTACATAGAGGTACATGAAGAACAGAAGGCAACCATTGAATTATAACATAAATCCTATGGGAAATATCAGTACATCAGTATACATATGTATATTTAATCAGTTACGTGTATCACAGATCGACAGCCTTTGGCCCGTTAATCGATAATTATCGATATACTACAGCGTTTAGGTAGCTGCATAAGAGATGGAACTTTGGCGATACAACGTAAAGTAGAAATAATGGAACGAAACAGATAACAGATCACAGATCACAGACAACAAAAAACAGAAATATAAACAAAACACTTAATTGAATTTGACTTGTAATTGAATTGGTTGTTTACATACATACATACATATATATTGCTCGTATAGATAACGATATATTTGCTTGTTGGGTATATATGTAGATATAGATTTGTTTATGCACATGTCGGTTTAAATATGGTACACTAGCGATTAGACATACGCATCTGATACTTAGTCATGGTTGGTTAATACGTTAATCGCTCAACAGATACAACAACAAACTATAAGCTATGAAAATGACCAACTAGAAATTAGGATCACTATCAACTATCAACTAGAAGCTAGAGGCTAGAAACTATCAACTAAAAGCAAAAGATTTCAACCACGGCACAGTCTGTGGACATGGACATCGACAACGAAACGACAACGTTGATGATGAGTACGGTTTACGGATTACGGATTACGGATTACGGTTTACAATTTACGAACAACTTTTATTGGTGGATAGAGAACATGAACAACAATACAAAAAATATATACTTTATTCGAAAGAGATGGTTTTCTTATCATCTTCTTTTCGTTTCTGTTTGCTTGATCCATCCAGGAACGGATCAAAAATCAACGATAGTGTTGATCAACACTCTACTCTTCGTTTGGTTGGTTGGACAGCTTGAACGCCAAGAAGTTTGCCAATTTTAAGGTATTTTCAACGCAGTTTAACAGGCAACCGAAGCAGAGGAGAGTTGCAGAGTTGGAGAAGAAAGGGAATGGGGAATTTTGTAAGGAAAGGAGTAGAGTGGAGTGGAGTTTAGTGGAGAGGAGAGGAGAGGTTTAGATGCTATACACAGCTATGGAGAGATAGAAAGATACAAACGATATATTCTGCGTGCAAATTACGTGACGTCCTTAAAATTGCCAACGACTTGAGCGCGGCATTGAGGGCACAGCGAATGGGGGATATCCATTTCGATTTCAATTTTGATCTCGATTTCCATTTCATTGCACACAGCATTTGCCTTTCGCACTTTGTCAGAGTATATCAGGAGTAATAGACTAAAATTCGAGTACATTGAGATTGCTGTTGGTTATCGCTAGAGCCACAAAATAAAAACTAAAACTCAAATATAGAACGCAAACAAAAGATCGATCTGAAACTCAACGAACGTATCCAAAGTGAACAATACTTGTACACGATGCACACACACACACGCAAACGAACACGCACACATTTGAGAGTCATAGATTCTTAGGGAATCTTTATGTATCGGATGGATAAACATATACACTCGTACAAATGTATCTTCAAGTGCGCGTGTGTGTGTGCAAAGGGAAGATTGAGCATTGAGCTGGTGTCTGGCTGGGATTAATAAGAGATGGCTAAGTATCACTTGTTTGTTTATGGCGACCTATGATTGTACTTAGTTCTAGTTTTAAGATGACAATAAATAAGTTAGATATACGTAAATGGGTGAGTTGTACACGGGCTGTACTACGGGCCTCTAGGCTGCTCTTCGCTTCCTCTAATTTTTGTTTTAGCTCGGAGTTTCTCAGTGTATTTTTGTGAGTGTTTTCGTGTGTGTTTTTGTGAGTGTTTTCATGTGTGTGTGTGTGTGCGACTATATATAGTAAATCTAGTTTACTTTACTTTAGTATTACTTTAGTTTAGCTTGATGTTTTTATGTCTAATCTCTATCGTTGAGAATCTTGATAATGTGTGTTCGTTGTGGGGGAAGGTTCTGGTTTCTAGGGTTCTGGTTTATGGATTCTGGTTTCTGGTTTGTGGATTCTGGGTTGGTTCTGTGGGGTCAGAGATTAGGTGTGTTGGGGGACAAAGGGTGGCTGGTTGGCTGGGTGGAAGTGGGGATTGAAAGTATTCCTGACTGAAGTACTAGTGTGTATGTATATCTAATTGCTTGGCCACTGCTCGTAGGCAAATATAACTTAGTCTTAAGTTCTGGTTCTACAAATCGTATCTTCTAATCGAGAGTATAGTTTCGTTTTGTGTGGGTGGCAAATCAAATATCGAAAATGATAAATTCTTAAAAAGCAACACTGTTTTGTATTATATATTCAATACATATCATTTTGTGTGTTTGGTTTTTTCTGTTTTGTTTGCTGTCTGAGTTATTGCTGTTTTCCTAGGTATATCTTTGGCCGATGTTTTGTGGTGTTTGTTGTGCTTTGTGGTTGCTGGGGCTGTTAGTGTTCGGTGTTGTGGTATTCGGGCATTTAGGGATCGTGATGAGCAGTTAACATAAATGTGCTGGCTTGCGCTCGCAAATACGTTGCAGATACATCTCTCTTGGATCTCTGCATCTTCGAGAGGAGTATCTATAGGTATGTATATATGTATCTTTTGTGGTTGTTTTAATTATCGATTCTCAGAACTTTTGATGGATGTACGAGTATATGTGTGTGTGTATATATGGGGGCAGTAAGACAAAGAGACAGTGAGATTGATAGATAAAGATAGAGACAGAGAGAGAGAGCGGTGGGTTGGTGGCTGGAGAAAGTGGGCGCGGGGGTGGAGAGTCTGTCTGTGCTATGTTGGATGGTCGCAGTCGTTTTGCAGTATTTTCTTTCGTTTTTTGTTTTTTTTTTGATAATTCTTGTAAATCGATAACAAAAATTGGATTTTGTTTTGTTAAAGTTTTTTTTTTTGGTTGTTTTTTTCGTTTTTGCTGTTTGGAACTTACCTATAAATAAGAAAAATATAAGTAAACCTAATTCCCGCATTGAGGCTTTCAGAGTTCGTCCTAATATTTGTAAACCCTTCGAATGCCTAGATAACTTAAATATTCGAAATACTCGAACTAATCGTATCACTCGTAATATTGCCAAGGACATAGCCTGATTCGATGACTTGTCCTAAAAATTTGTATCGAAATATATATATATATATTTATAGAGTAGGTGGCATACATATGAAGAACACAGATACGTATAGTTGATAGGTGTTTGTGTAAGTGTGTAGGTGTGTGAGTGTGTATTGAATGAATTGATGGATAATCATTTATGTACATAGATCGATCGATATAAATAATGTCTGTTTGTTAGTATTGTAATAGGAATACTGTGGGGGGCGGATACGGATACGGATACACAACAATGAACATAACCTCCGAGGAGTGTTATCGATAAGTGTGTGTGTGTGAAAGCAGTGTAATCGATCGGTTGGTTACGTTTTTTGTTAGAAAAAAATAATACATGACTTTGTTGTGGGCTCGAGGGCGGGGGGCAGGCAGCCCTAGAGCATGTCAGGCAACTCATAAATGATGATGGCAACACTTAAAACTGTATTTCTGTGTGACGTTGATAGATAGATAGTATTTGTATGTGTATGGTATGTGTGTTTGTGTGTGGGGTGGGAAGAGTATTGGGCAAACGGAATCTCATACCTGTGGACTGACTGGCGCTTTTGGAAGATTTAACGTATCCTCCTCTTCGGCAACGACAGTCGCTAGTGTTATAAAGTACGGAATGATGGCGATTATGTCGATAACATTCATGACATCCCTGCAGAAATTTAATTTGTTCGGACATGCGAGGAACCTGAACACACACAATAATCGATACAACGACCAGCGATTTGGTTTGGTTTAAAGATTCACACACAGAGAGAGAGCGACAGCGACAGCGAGAGCAAGATGGAGAGGAGAAACGAAACAGAAAGAAAGAGAGAGAGAGAGAGAGAGAGAGAGAACGAGAACGAGAGAGAGAATAAGAGACGTAAGAGAGAGTTGGATAGTTGGAGAGATCATCAAAATTATAAATGAAGGAATACTCGTACGTAGACAAAAATATAAAGAGAAGAAAAGAAAACAAAAATTCAATCAATATGTATCAATATATATATACATGAACGAGTTCTAGTTATTCGTTGATAAATATATGTATGGATAGGTATAGCGATGTAGATTTATAGAGAGAGAGAGAGAGAGAGTTAGAGTTAGGGAGAGGGAGAGAGAGATATCGGTATTCTAGTGCTACTAGTACTTATATGGATATCTCTTTCGTTCGCTTAGCTTATGCTATGCTATATGCGGTATGGTACATATGCATACGAGTACGAGTACGGAGTATGGAGGAGTATGGAGTGGTGGAGTGGTGGAGTTGTGGAAGTGAAAGTGAAAGTGGTTTCGCCTACCTGACAGTTAGTTCAAATGTAAACCAAATAATACATAACGTTTCTATAAGGAAGAAAGGATCTGTGATGTCAGGCACCTCGTCTTCCTCGATTTTTGTGCCATTTGTTGTTGTATTGAACACCTAAAGAGCGGGGAGAGAGAGATAGACAGAAATAGAGAGGGAAGTGTGCATCAGTTGGGGCATCAGTTGGATCCATTATCCGCTGACTGCTGAGTGGAGTACGCACCTTGTAATGCTTAAATTCGGGTAATGTTTCTAGACAAAATATAACAATTGATAGCAATATAACAAATACACTAATTATGGCTACAACTCTGGCGGCTTGTGAACTCTCTGGATACTCGAAGAGCAGCCAGACTCTTCTTTGTTTCTCATTATCCGGTAATGGTCTTTCTTCCTCTTTAATAAAGCCTTCATCCTCTCTGCAAGAAAAAGAAAACAAAGAAATGTGATCGATCGATCACACCCACACCCATCACCATTAGTCGTCATGCAGTTCAGTTATTTCCCCTAATTCTTAAGTGTATTTTGTGTGTGTTTCTATGGGCAGCACTGGCAACAGGACACAGGATTGGGTCGCATCGAAACGCCGCATAAAACAAGCTTAAAATGGCAAAGGATTGCCGACTGGACTCTAGACTGACATGGCAGAAATCCAAAGGACAACACTTTGCAGCTCAGCTTTGAGGCACTGCAATACAAATTTAGTTGAAAGTGTAGAGTTGGCGGCTTAAATGTAAGTGAATCCTTCTGGTCATGGCGACTGCAGATCGTCTTCTCGGCAACAACATTGTAGTGATTAATAGTCAACTTGCCCATAGATTTTGGGTCCTTTCTTCGTTCTATTGCTAGCTTGTCTCTATTGCTTACAAATTCCTTAAAATTCCCAACAACCTTGAGTCAAAATAAGTCGGAGCAATCTTGAATAAATAGACTTGCGATTACATCAAAGTCTTGTAGTACGAATGTAAAATTAATTTCCTTGTGATTGACTTTCTGTTCTGTTCTGTTCTGTTCTGGTTGCCGTGCTGCATGCCACAGTACACCAATTCAATTATTTTTGAAACCAAATCCTAATTTGTGTGGAGTTTTAGTTTTTGTGTTGGAGTTTCGAGTTTGGATTTTCAGTGTGTACTTTGGCTTTGGCTTACCTGAATTTATTAATTGCTTGATCACCTAATTCATAAAATTTTATTTCTTCACTAAATACGTCTAAAGGGACATTGACCGGTCTCCGTAGTCGGCCACCTGTGGATGGTAGTGCGAGTATATAGGAGGATACACAGATGAGTGATTGTTGTGAATGAATTCGGTTCGGGGTTTGGTTGAGTTAAGAGAAACAGACAGACCAAGAGACAGATTAATGAAGGAAGGAAGAGATTGAAACAGAAGAGGGAAGAGAGAGAGAGAGAGAGAGATCAGAAGAATGTTCCATAGAATAATAGAAGGAAAATGCTTACCACTCTGATAATAGTATAAAATCGCATCGAAGCTCGGTCGACTACGGTCAAAAAAATATTCATTTCTAAGCGGGTCAAAGTACCGTAATCTCCGAGCCGGATCCCCGAGCAGCGTGTCCGGGAATTGATTAAGCGTACGTAGTTGTGTCTCAAACCTCAGCCCGCTTACCTAAAACAAAACAAAACAAAACAAAACAAATATTTCGGGATGCCAGAAATTAAGATGAGCTTCAGGGGAATGAGAATATGCTCCGTTCTCAGGTGGGTGGGGGTTGGGCTCACTCGTACTCACATTTATAACGACTCTTTCGCAGAAATCATGATCGTGAGGAATGGGTTCAAAGTGTTGCGGTCCGCCACCAAAGCCATGACCAGCCCCCCCTTCTTCGTCTTGACTGCTCAATTTGGGCAAAGACCTGAAAAGAAGAGAAAAACAATGTTAGATACGATTCGTATGAGAAATATTTATATACGGAGTGGGTAAGGGGGGAAGTGAGAATGTGGGACATTCCGCATTTAACCTGGTAATCGCAGCTCCATTATTCAACCGATTCGATCTTAAAGCTCTCCAGTGGCCTGGTCTTTAATTACTTTTCGGACTCGAATCAATTTTCCAGATGCTTTTGCCCCAATTGAATATTCAATGGCGCTGCATAATGGATGGCCTGCGAGGCGGTTCGGGGAATTTGTTTTCGGTTTTTGTTTTGGTTTTGGCTTTGGGTTTCTCCTTCTCGATTTCAATTGCCATTGCAATTGCTGTATGCCGTATGTGCCCCACTAACGATATTTGGACAAGAGCCCAGACACAGCCACAGGCACAGGCACAGGCACAGGCACAGGGACAGCCATAGCCTTAGCCAAAACATGGGCCGGGGGCATCGTATGACTTGGCCTGGCCAAGAGGTGGTTAAGCTTCAAATGCCCGAATTAAACTCCGCACTCAAGACAGCACCGGGCCAGGCCAGTACGATCCCAGCCTGAACCTAGCCAACAAAGTCCATGTGCTATGTCCATGTCCATGTCCGTGCCATGTCGATGTCCATGTCCATGTCCATGTCCGTGTCCAGGCACATAGATAGAGATGGGCTCTGGCAGTATACTTATGTTTACACTTGTAATTGGAATTGTATTACAATCCCATATAAAAACGAACAGTTCCGCCCACAGCTGGCAGTGTGCCCACCACTCGAGTTTCATGCCTCCTTCACTGTCTGCCAGAACCCAGCACCCTGCACCCTGCACCGCCCATCTCTTCTTGTCCTTTATCGCTGATGTTGCTGACAATGTGCAATTGTTGCTGCGGTTGCTGCTGGCTGCTGGTTTTCCGAGGCCCCGAAGCGGATCCACACCCACACCCTAGCACAGAGCCAGAGCCAGACCCAGGCACAGGCACCGAGGCACGGATTGCTGTTGCCTGGTGCTACGAGTATTTGGCGCCGTGCCGTGCCATTTAATTAAGCGTGTAAGTGCAGTGCACGAACGACAGGCAGCCGCTGCACCCACTCTTTTGGCCAGCCATGGGTTAATATATGGACAGGCAGGGAAGGCACAGACGTGAGAGAGATGGGGCTAGAGGCAGCGATGGCTAGAGTGCATTCAAATCGTACAATTTGTTTGTCAAAATACGATTTGCCTCTCTCGCTACTTGCCTCCTTGTTTTCTCTGCCCTTATAAATAGTTACAGTCGAATGTTCTCTGGCAAAAAAAATAGTGTTAAAGGGGAACAAAACGCGTAAGTCTGTCATATTTGTGGCTGCTTCGTGTGGCATTAAATTCTAGTAAATGTTTTTACGTGCAACATAACTAAATGAATCGGAAAATATGATATGCAAGGAGCCCGCATTTGAAGCTTTTGTGGGATGTAAACGTGCTCCAATGGCAAGTCTAATCTAATCTTAGGCAATCGAACTGGACTGTTAATGCTCCATCCAGCCAAAAGACGATAGCGGCAACTGAGGGAAGCAGCGACAAAGAGCCATAAGTAGATAGTGAGAGAGAGCGAGAGAGCGAGAGAGAGAGGAAAAGGCCGGCATCAGGTAAAGTCGGTCAGAGTTCGTTCTTGGCGAATGTCAACAAACAATTTGGCCGAGGTGTATTACTGTGTGTGTTGCATATGTGTGCCAGAAGTGCACCTGTCTGTCTGTGTGTGTGTGTGTGTGTGGGTTTGCATATTTTTATATTCCTCTGGGTGTGTGCTTGTGTGTGTGTGTGTGTATGGGATGGGGCCATATGCCAAATGTGTATCTGTGTATGTAAATGTCAGTCAGCACTTTATTCATACTTTTACTCTCTTGCTCTTGCTCTTGCTTTGGCATTTGCTTCTTCCTTTTGCTCCTTCCCTGCGCTCTGCATCTCTCTCTTTTTCAACCCCTTTCTCTCTTTATATAGGTCAGCGGCACTTTGGCTATTGCTGATGCCTGCCCTGGGTGATGCGGCTGTGACGTCATTGTCGCCTCCTCTTCTAAATGCCGCCGACGACCCCAGTCGATGCGATGCGATGCGATGCGATGAGTCGCTGGTGCAGCGACCTATTTACAACTCACTAGTACATGGCAGTGTGTGTCTGTGTGTGCACTTCCGCATGCGGTGAGGCAGGTGCCGCTGTGGATGTTGCATAAGCCGAAAGCCGAAAGCCGAAAGCAGAAGGCAGAAACGGAGTGGAAATCGGAGTGGAGCGACTGAAGTTCAATGCAATGGGCAAATCCGAAAATCAAAGTGTACATCGTGCCCTCAGATCTGTGTACTAGATGCAACTGGGTGTATGTGTTTGTGTGTTCTTTTTCTGTCTTCTTTGTCTGTGTGGATGCCGGTCAAGGCAACAACAGAGATGCCATGCCTGATGCCTCCTCTCATCAAGTCATCCTGACTATTTTTAGCCACATCATCAACATGTGCTGAATTGTATGAATTAATGGAGAAGGGAATTTAAAGCACACACACATATACAGAGCAGACACTCGAGGGACACAAAAGGAAACGGCAGCGAGAGCCTTGAACTGATGAACACTCACTCAGAGTCACTCAGTCACCCCTCATCGACTGGCTGGCTGCCTGCTTATGCAAGCTGGCATATGCAAACATATGCATGTACATGTGCCTATGTATGATGTATACATACATACATATATGCATCTTCAAGTTAATCAACAAACCCAGTCAGCAGCTGGCAAAAGATTGCAAGCAGCAAGCAAGCCTCCATTGCTGCTGCTGCTGCTGCTGATGAAGGAGCTAAAGGGGGAGAACAAAGAAATTACTTGGAAATCCACTTAGCAGAATTGGATGAGAACACACACTTTTCAGTGCCCGAAATCCAGGCTTTAAATGCACGCTTAAAAGGGTTTAGCAAGGAACATTCCTATTTGGGAGTTGCAAAGTTTCCTTTGTAAGATTCCATCAACGGGGTGGGGTGTTTACTGGCAGGAAGCTTAAACTGTGCCAGGTAAGAGCGAGACTCATTTGCGCGCTGACGTCACAAACGCCATTCGAATGGCAAAAGTTGTAAATGCGAGCATGAATGAATGAATGAATGAGTGCATCGAAAAGGTACGCTCCGCCCCCACATGGTTGTGCTGTGCATTTCACACTTTCCGCGGAGCTGAAACGGATTCCTCGACCGACTGAGTCGGTGTCGGTTCCGGTGCAATCAATCGTCAGATGCAGATTGGAAAAGGGGAAGAGGTAAAAGGTATGATGAAATCAGGGCCTCACGGCCGCAGCAGCGGAGTCGAGTTATGCAAATCCTTGGCCTGGGCACCGGGTCGGACCCATAGCCAGAGCCAGAGCACGTAGCCGGGAGCAGGCAGGCAGTTACCTGGCCACGACTGGCTGACGGACGGACGGACGGACGGACGGACGGACGGACGGACGGACGGACGGACCTGCACTGCCCTGCCCTGCCTGACCTTGGCCAGTTGCGTGCACAATTTGTGTGGGTTTTCGCTTTGTTTTATTTGTTGTTTTCCGTGTTTGTGCCTTTCCATTTTTTGCTGCTTTACTTTTTTGTTGTTGTTGCTGTTGTTTTTCGTTTTCATTCTTGTTTGACGCTTTCTGTTTTGGCGTTGCTGTTTTTATTTGTTATTTTTGGCAACCATTTCTCGGGTTCTCTGCGCACCCAACATGCAACCCCATGGATGTAGAGCGTTGCTGCTGCAAGTGCAGGTGCTGCAGCTGTGCTATTTGTTCCCTCCCTCCCCCTGGGGGACTGTGTGCTTGCTTTGTTGCACGTGTGTGGCCAGGCGTGAGGCATGAGAATGACTGGTGGAGGGCTAAAGGACTGAAGAGCTGAAGGACTGAGAGAACGATTGTGTGCACGTCAGGCATTTTAAACATGTTCCGCTATTTGAAACTTTGAGTCGTTTATTATCCGAAAAGGAAGAGAACTAAGGATAAAGCCACACACACAGCACGAAAGCAGTTGGTGGAATGGTGAAGTGGAGTGGGACAGGTGCCAACTTGTTAAGCGCGCAATTTACAAACTTCGCCAAAGGTGAAACTTTCGCAATTGTCTCAAGTGAGCGCAAAACAAAGTCGCTGTCTGTATTAAGAGCACACCTGATCCATAACCCTAGCATAAGCGATAAAGTTAACAATTAAGCTTTCAATGATTTGCTAATCATTGCCAACTTTGAGCCAAAAGCATTCTGCCCCTCTGCCCTTGCACATTATTCAATTGCAGCAACAATCGAATTGACTTCTCCTGGAACCAGGCTGTTTGGAAAAACCGTAGCCTAAGGATTAATGTGTGAACTCGAATCGATGCCATAAACCCACACAGCACACACTCACACACTCTTTGTCCCATCGCAATGTGACCAGTGGGAGTACCAGTACCAGTCCAGTACCAGAAATAGACTTTTATTTTCGAACAATCGAATCGGATTTGCCCTTTCTCCTAATCCCACTCCCACTCTCTCCAAAATGGCAAAATGAGTTCGAATCGATTGTGTTACGCTTGCTCACAATCAAAGTAATCTCCATTCAGCTGATGAAGTTCCCCAAAAGCATTTACGTCCCTATCCATCCATCCATGTATCCCTTATTCTTTGTGTGGTTTTAATTTTAATGCAGTGCATACATAAGGCATACAATAATGTACATGCAAGGGACTGGCGCGGATGAAGCATGTAAGCACAAAATGTAGGAGGGAAAAGTCAAGCGAGTGAAAGCGACACAAAAGCGTGCAAAGAGCAGAGAGCAGACAGCAAACGAGACACACAATGGCCGACCCATAAGACCCACATGCATATGTGTGTATGTGTCTGTGTGTTTGTCTGTGTGTGTGAAGGTACATATGTCCATTTGGGTGCGTGTGTGTGTGTGTGTGTGTGTGCTCATTGTGCTTGCTGTTCGCTGTCCATTGTTCATGGCTTTGTTGCCTGACGTTGACGTCGCTTGTCGCCTTGTCGCTGGCAGCAGA